GGGGAGGCCCTGGCTCCGAGGGGGAGGGGGAGGAGCCTCGCGCTCCAGTGGGGAAACCAAAGCCCCAGTGGCTAAGGACACAGTGTGGAGTGTGTGGGGACCTACGGGGGGAGGAGGGCAGATGTGAGGTGGGGAACGGCCGGGTGCGGCCGGGGACACTTACGGTTGAGGCCCACATCGTGGTAGGTGAGGATGGCCGGGCGGTTCCCCTTGGGGGAGCCCCGGATCACCACGTGCAGAAGGCCGTAGGGCGTCTCAATGTCATGCTCCTGGGGAGAGAGACGGGAAGATGCTCTGGGCGGTCCCTGCTCCTGGCTCCTCTGGGGGAAGGGCTGGGGGGCAGCCGAGAGCTGCTGGGCCTGGGGAGCGGCCTCCAGGCCCCATAGGGCGGGACATCCCATTCTCACCACGGAGGCAGAGAGGACGCAGCGGGCGGAGCACCCTTCCCAGGGCAGGGGAGTCCGGCACAGGGACAATGGATGGGAAGGTCCTGGTCCCCTTCACAAACCAGCCAGTGGGGGAGCTGCCTCAGCCCAGGCCCTGCTGCACGAAGCCTCCGGACACAGCTCTGCCCCTCCAGCCCCGCACCGGGCCCACCCTCACCTGGTCCTCTCCCACTAGGAACCTTGAAGGGCTGCTGCTCAGTTCCCCTCAGTCCTCAGTAACTACCCCAAGTGACCAGGCCCCGCCTCCAACACCCACACCTGCAGGGTCTTGCTCCGGCCTTTCCTTCCACCGTGAAGCCCCTCCCTGCGAACCCAAGGCCTTCCTTCAGGAAGGGCCCAGTTAGACACCCCCGCTCTCCCCCCCACCCTTCTCCTCCAACCCCTGCCTTCAGCTGTGGCTGCTCTGGGCTGCTCCCATGTTCACGCCCTTGGCTTTGCTCATTTGTCTTGCAGGAGCAGGAGCTGGGCGCTGTGCTGGAGACCTGCTCTGCCCTTTACTGTGTGACTCTGGGCCAGGCTCACCCCTTCTCTGTGCCCCGGCCCAGCCCTCTGGGAGGGACTCCGAGAACTAAAGAAGCTGCGGTTTGCAGGGTGGTTCGCACTTGGAGAGCGCCCAGAAAGGGGGCTGCTGGGCTGGGCTGTCCGGAGCCTGGGAGGAGCCCAAGCCGGTCAGTCTTGGCCCTTCCATGGGAAGAGTCCCAGGGGCAGCCAGAGCTGGACACACGGCCCTGCCCGGCCACGGGAACCCTGGAGCTTCCCACTGAGCTGGAGGTGGGGTTAGGGCCGGGACAGGAAGGAAACAGCACATGACTGAGCACCTACTGTGTGCCAGGGGTTTGCACATAGTGGGCACTTAGGTTCAAAGAGGACCCAAGCTCCTTCCCCCGACAGGAAAGGGACAGACTTGGGAGGTAGGAGACAGTTTCTTGGGGACTGGCCTTTAGGGTCTGAGCTCAGCAGGGAGTGACAAGGTGGTACCAGCCTCGCAGCCAAAGGCCACACCCTGGGAGCCACCCTTCTGCTGTGAGGTCCTGTCAGAGACATCCTGTTGCCCTCTGGGTGGGCCCAGGCCTGTCCTCCCTCAGGGCCACCACCAAGCCATACTTCCTGCTCACTGACCACTGACTGGACACTTTGCACGCTCACAGGGACCTCAGCCACAGAGGAGCACACGAAGGCTGCAAAGGAGAAATGCTGTGCCCAAGGTCAAGGCCCGAGAGGGAGGGCAGGCCTTGCCAGGTGCAGACCTGGGGGGTAAGCCGGGGGCTGCCTTTTCTGAGATCAAGTGTGACAGAGAGACTCCGCCATACTGTACCCCCAATTCCCCACCCTCAGCTCTAGAGGGTGGGGTGGGGGGGAGGAGGGGTGCACAGTGCCATGGAAGGTGGACTTGGGGGGCTGGAGGGGTGGAGGGCAGGAGGGGTGCCCCCCATGCAGGGCAGCGTTGGGGGCAGGAGGGGTGCCCATTGAACAAGAGCTGCAATGCGCTTGCGGCATCAAGGGCAGTTCCTGAGTGCGATGGGTCACTGTCGCCCTTCCAGGCACAAGTGGGGGCACGGGGCGGCAGTTTTCACATCCAGACAGTCCGTGGGTGCAAGTGAGGGGGTGCCTGTCCCCTCCCAGCCCTGGTGTGGCCTCCCCATCACTAGCCCGGGGCGGCTGCAGAGCCTGCCCCACTGAGGCCCAGCTCGTGGGGGGTGGAGGGCGGGAGGGGAGCTCCCGCGCAGCCCGGTACCCTTGGCTGCACCCTCCCGCCCACCCAGGAGCTCAGACCCAGCCCAGCTCCCAGTCTGGCGGGGAGGGAGGGGGGCTGCACACA